GCTGAAGAATTAATTAGATCATAGCCAAATTTAGGCTATATGATGCACATCTGACAAGAGGAAAACCCAAACTATTAGCTATTTTTTTGTTTGTATTACAATTATCTTCTGAAAGAAAAAGAACATTATCAACACTCTTGTTGTATGAATCCAAAACATCTTCAAAAAATCTAATATGTGCATCTGCATCCTGAGTTTACAGTCTTCAAATGGAGAAAATGCTAATAAAACTAACTTTCTAAACTCGTGAACTGTTTGATAAATTTCAAATAACCCAACAAAGTGAATGCCGTTGCTTGTCCACCCATCAAACATCATTCCAATTTTTCCTGGTAATGTATTTTTTATTCTTTCTCGTACATTGTCCACTAAACCATTAATGTATTTGCCAACTGTAGAAACATCCAATTTTGAAAGATTGATGTGCAAGGCAAAATCATGCATTAAGAGGCAATTGACACTTTACGATAAGACTCACCCAGTTAAAAATATTAAGTATACTTGCACTATAGTTAAACATATCATAATTTGCTGGAGAAAAATTAATATTTGCAATATGCTGTTGGTAAATTACTTTATATTTTCATGTTTTGCATTCAAATAGTTCATTAAATTTGTATAACCCGATTCTTTTTTTTGACTTATTGGTTGTGATCCGGGAGGGCATAAATTACACTGATTCTTGCCATCATTTGTAGGTTTAAAAAAAGCCTCTATGTAGCATTTGTTCGAAACTGTTGTGCTCATTGAAACCAGTTTAAAAATAGAAACACAAATAATGTTTTGATGTGTATTTTCGAAAGGAAATGTAAATTAATATTGCAGTTAGCGTGCAAGTTATTTTATTGAACTACGATTTTTAATGTCAAGATTAACAAATATACTAAATGAAAATTTTATTATTACACTAAATAAATATCTCATTATTACATATTTTGCACTGAACGAAGATTTATTATTACACTAAGCAAATATCTCATTATTACATATTTTGCACTGAACGAAGATTTATTATTACACTAAACAAATATCTCATTATTACATATTTTGCACTGAACGAAGATTTTATTATTATGACAAAAAAATATCTCATTATTACATATTTTGCTGAACGAAGATTTTATTATTATGACAAAAAAATATCTCATTATTACATATTTTGCACTGAGCGAAGATCTCATTATTACTGAGCGAAGATCTCATTATTACTGAACGAAGATCTTATTATTACACTGAACAAATCTTCTCATTATTTCACTGAATGAATATCTGGGGTCTTTGCCTTGAAAATGACCTTACGGTACATGATACCGTAAGATCATTTTCAAGGCAAGGACCCAGGGCACAAAATTCTATTGTAAAATACCGGAGGTCCGTTTAGTTAAGTTGACTTCCGGCGTAGTTTTAAAGCGGCCGGAAATTTTATAATATTACTGTAAATATATTGCAGGAGTTTCTAAATTTCGTTTACCGAAAAAAAAAAGCAGGTTACATCACCCGGAAATTTTGTGCCCTGCAAGGACCCCATCTTATTATTATACTGAATGAATCTTCTCATTATTACACTGAACGAATATCTTATTCTTATACTGAACGAATATCTCATTATTACATATTTTACACTGAACGAATATCTTATTATTTCACTGAACGAATATCTCATTATTACATATTTTATACTGAACGAATATCTTATTACACTGAACGAATAAATTATTATTACACTGAACGAATTTCTCATTACATATTTTACAGTCGGTGCAAAAATTGCAATTAATTGATTAATTGTGGCTGCGCCACCAATCAATTAATTGAGTTCAAAATAATTGCAATTAATTGCCCCTACAATCAATTATTCGGTAGGCCTGGCTATAATATGTTATATCAAAATACTCAAAAGTTAACCAACATTATAAATTTAATTGTAATATAGTATACCGGTACTTTATTTTTTTGATTTACATATACATATAACACAAGTGTTGTATATAATTCACGTCTTTTAGTTTCTTCTTCGTCTTTTATGATTTTCATTAAATGCTACATGTAAGTTAACTGGCCTAAATGGCCATTGTTCGAAAATTTGAGCCAATTCAATAAATTGTTCAACCGTTGTATCCTTAACAAGGACTTGAGAATCAAATGACAAATTTTTTATAAGAGACTCTGCACCAGCTCCTAAAGTACTATTTACGTAAATATTGAAATACTATTATTACTAGGAAGGAAAGGGTATTGTAAATACCAAGTAACAAAATACCTTATAGTATCACATAATGGCACGGTTTTCTTAGACAATACATGACGGAGAACATATTCAAATACATCCAATTGAGCTATGATTATTAAGATAAATTTGATTAATTATAGAGAGTGTATAAAAATACATCTTCAATATTAATGAACGAATGAATAAAATAAATAGTAACCTTTAAGTTTTGGTTGAGCTTGCGGTGTCAAACTTAATAATACATTTATCGACTGACAAGAAAATGATTAATCATCTATGAATTAACAATATTTTAATCATTTGAAAAAAAAAAAAAAATTTATTATAATACTTTTGGCGTATATGCGCGTTCTGGAATCACTCTTAAAATATCTATATTTGCAAGGGATTCTATTATAACACCCTGTTTGCATCGCTTGATATCACCTAACATTGCCATATTTTTCTACAAAATTATGTTTAATTTTTTAATATTTTATATGTCTAGTAACAGATCATTAAAATACAAACCTCATACAAGTATGCAGGCATGAACACATTTGTCTGAACGCGTCCGTATGTTTGAAATCCAGATCGATTATAAAAATCTTGCATGATCTGGTTCAACAAATAATCACCACCCATTTTATCTGGTAGATGAAATATAGAAACCAATGATGGATGAACTAATAAAAGGAAATAAAAAGATATAAGCAAAATTTACAAATAAAATAGATCTAAACAAAGAATAAATATAGATCACCTTCTTCCCATGGATATATTTGCATATCAGCAAGTTTCTCTTTTTGTAACCACGTACAGATTGCTTCGAGCTTGTTTGATGCAAATTTTGAAACAATGTTATTCTCAGCTTGTATAACCTCTAATCTGCCAGAAGATTCTTCAGCTAATCGCTTAAATAATTAAAGACTATATATCTCAATAATTAATAATAGAAATGTTACTTTTAAATGTTTTTCTCATACCGCAAGATTCTCAACACAATCTTTATCATTATCTAATGCGATTATCCTTTTAGCGTTGGTGTTATTAAGTAGAGCATGTGTAAGAAATCCTAAACCTTGTTTATTATTATTATTATTATTATTATTATTTTAAGATATATTTTTGTTAAAATGAATTAATACTTAGGATACCGTTTATGATTCATTATTTATTATATCAACACATGCAGACCTGAAAATTTTGGTTAAAGACCAACCGGAATTTATTTCAATTACCGTAGCATTATTTGGAATATTAATCGCTTTTGCTGCACTAACTACATTCGCGTATAATATGTGAACCTCGTGTTTAACAGTAAATAGGATGAAAAAAGCTAAGTCTCACAAACCTGCCATCTGTTTATCGATCAAAGATAAACGATATTTTCCTGCCGGAAGACGATTTAATAATTTGGGGGACCACATTTTAGCTTTAAAATTTAAAATGATCGTAAACTTACGAAAAGCTGGTGTATTTGTTAACCGACATAATTTCATGTGATAATTTATATAGAAATGTAATACAAAAAAATAATAGATTGATTAATTCGTTTCAATCATGAAAAATAAAGTTATTCTTGATCAAACAATAAGGAATAGAAATATTCAGCATCATTTGAATGAACTTGAACGTGATAACTATGCAGAAGTACCTGAACTTGAAATTGTCTCTGGAACTATTACAAAACCAAGACGTACTTCCGAAGTTGATACTAGTCAAAGTAAGCCATTTGTTTACTAATACTGTTAGATTTACGACACTAAACATTGATTAATTTTTAGCTACGTTAAATAGATAGAAAAACAAAGGCAAGAAGTAAAAAACAACTTTTAAGTCAATTAACGGTTAAAAAAACCCTTAATGCACTACTCGAAGAATCGGTAATAACCATTTTTAATGTGGAAGTTTTAACCATTATTTCGACTCAATGTTTGGGCGAGTTCCCCGGGTAACTTAGTTCCTTACAAAGTTACGATGATGAGTTAAAATATTCAAATTGTTGAAGTTTTCAGCATAATAGAGCGTTTATTAATATTGTCACTATATTTTCTGACAAAAACATATTGATTTATGCTGAGATTTGGGACGATTTTACTATCGTTCGGGTGGCAAATATAATTATCACATATTTTAATCGAAGGCCATTATTTTTTTATTTTTATTTTTATACAGAGAATAGAACAGCTTCCTCCTGATGTACCTACATATCTCTCAGCCGTAGCAGGACCGTCTAGATACCCCCCAAGAAAGTTTTGTTCAGTATGTGGATATTTGTCGAACTATAGTTGTAAAACTTGTGGGATGAAATATTGTAGTGTAAAATGCCTAGAAATTCACGAAGAGACGAGGTATTTGTGACAATTTACTTAAATGTTACTTTGCTTATAAACCCTTTGTTAATTTTTTATTTATATATATAGATGTATGAAATACACAGTGTGATATCTGGAATGAGAATACAAACCCTTTTTTTTTTGTTTTTTTTTTTTTTTTTAGCAATTATCGATGTTTAGCCTTGTAAATAGGGAAACAAAAAAAAAATTTTATTATACATAAATACGTAGTAGCGCCTATGATATTTAATAGTAATTAATAATAATAATAATAATTCATAAATTTCTATTAAACGAAGGATGTACAATTTATGAATATATGATGAAATCACATTTAACTGATGAAGATAGTATGAAATTATATACGTGAACACCTTCCAATACACATACATATTTAGATTTTATTTTGAGTTTTAAGTACAATCGGAACTGTTAAAACATTAAATATTTAGTTAGATTTTGTGTATTAATTAATTCACAATTAGTTCAAGAACAAATAATATTACCAATAATAATAGCCAATATGATAAGTGCTACGACCACAAGAATAATAGTCCATTTTGTGTCTTTCCACCACATTTTAGCACGAGTTTGTTTTGATTGGAGCTTAAAAACGTTAGAGGTCTCCTGTAACATTGCTAATAAAATTAGAATTGAAATAAATAAAATTGTCTAAAATGTAATCTATTGATCATAATCCTATTTTAAACAGAGATGTCACATAAGAATACATAATAATATTGGACATTATAGTGGACCCGTATCATCTCATCGACCGACTTAGTTCACCGACAATTAATTTACAGATAAGCTTATTTTACTGACGATTAACTCACAGACAAGTTCATTTCAGACATACTGGCAGCTTATTTCACTGACTTTTCTTATAAATTGCACTAACCTTAACTCTAATTCTAAACCTGACCCTCAATGACAATGACCAGAATTACTTTATCGGTGAGATGAAGCGTCTGTGAAAGAACTTGTCTGTGAATTAATCGTCAGCAAAATAAGCTTGTCTGTAAATTAATTGTCGGTGAATTAAGTTGTCGAAGTGATTGTCGATAAAATGAACCGTTATATTTATGTAGATAATTATTACGGATAATTAGATTCTTATTAAATTGCTATCCAATAAAATTAGTATACAATTGACATATGTCCAATTATTTTTATAATGTTTTGGATATTGTCCAATGTCTAATGGTCCAAAAAATTATTTGGACATGCTGGACAAATTGGACATAGTCCAAATGTCCAGAAGTCCAATTAAATTTATTGGACATTGTCCAATGACAACTCTGATTTTAAAGAATATAAATACCCGTTTGTTCTTCCAAGTCACCCAATTTCTTTCCTCGGTTGGCCATATCAAAAAGTGACTTATGAATCTCACTCTTTGTATTGTCTATTTGATCTTGTACATGTTGAATTTTCGTAGGACCCGATTCTTGAGAAGAGGGTCGGCCATATTCATATTTTTCGTTATTATCAGGTGAAACGGACCTACATATATATTGTGTGAGAATACGTCCTTTAAATGCAAAAGTAATATCAATACTTACATTGTTATTATACTGCTAAGACGGATAGAATAGATTCTCTTAACAGTTTCTTGAACAAATTAAATATTCCCCAAAAATTATTATAAATCGTTATTTTTTTTTCTTATATGATAAATTTTTGGTTCCTTCGCTTGTAAGCACCGTTATGACATGAAGAGCGTTAAGAGACGTGAGCCAACCAAAAATATCTAAAAGCCTCACCGCTGAACAATCAAAGGTTAAAAACCAAAGATTGTGTTTCATCCGGCATCAAAATTCCGGTTTTTTATAAATTTCATAGTAGACACAATTTTGTTATAATTAAATTTGTAAGTTTTTTTTTTTTTTAGCCGATCGATTGCACAAAATGGAAGCACCCGCACTATATATGAAATAATCGGAGCATACATCGGAGCACCGCATCAGTAAGTTGTGGCAAACTTGTCGATCTGCAGATCAGGAAATCGGGATCCGAGTGTGTATAAGCCTTCATGCTTTAGTTAAAAAACGAGGTCTATTTATATTATGTGATCTAATATTTTGTTGGTAATCGTGGGCTTAGAACAAGGCTGTGGTTGCCTTAATTAGATATACAATTAAAGTACTTGATCACCAACACTCGAAATAATCTCGATTATAAGCATTTCTGCTAAGCAGATTTATCTTTTATACAATGTGTCAATTACCGTTACTGGATATTTTCGTAATCTTTGGGGCTTAAATCCTTGTTCAAAACAAATTCTATTATTAGATTTGTTCCTTTGACTATACTATTGTTATTAACCATATTAATTTTAATTAAAAAAATAAATAAGATCAGACCAACTTGGCTCTCTGTTTATACAGAACTTATAAAAAAGGCAATCATCCTATTGGCTAATATAATTGATTATACTGTATATATATTGGGTTTACAGTAGTGAAGTAGTAGAATGTAGAATAGTGGAATGTAATAGAGAAAGACGCGGTTAAACAATGAAGTTTAATACACGTTATTTTTGAAAATCACATCTTTATAAATAGCATAATTGTTTTAATGCCCATTCGTATCTCGAAATAATACACTTATGTGGTTTAGACTTGAAAAATTGGTCTTTTATTTCGAAATAACGCTCATGTAATAATGCGCAGGAGCAGGAACTCGAAATTTGAGGTTATTTCACGATTATACGGCAAGAAACAATCCTCAATATGTATAACCTTTTTAAATACTATATATCTTTTAAATATATATATACATATTAAAGGCTTGGTTATATAATTGATTATTGTCCCGTGAGAACTAAATTAAAGTTGGGATTTAAATATAAAATTCTTATCTGGAGTGACCTTATTCTGAATGATGATATTCTGATTCAATTTTTACATACGACGCGAACTTTTTTTTAAAAAAAATTTTAGAGTTCGGAATAGAGTCGTTCTATTAGGAATTTTTACAGAGACTCGATTGTACAACTTTCATATTTTTATATATAAATTTATCTTAAATATAGGTATTAATCAAATTCTAATGTATATTAAAACAAGCAACACCAATAAATAATGTATAAAATAGAGCTTTATATTCGTATTCGGCGAATATGCGAATAAACCTGATGATGTAAACTTCAATCATTGGCTGTTCTCATATTTTATTCTGATCGATTAAATGATAATGGTAATTGTGGTAATTTGAAATTGTTTTCTTATATTTATTTTATTCTACTCTTCTTGAAACCTATTTGGAATTTTCTCACCCATATCTGGACTTTCTCTGCCCTATTTCGGATAATAAATTGTTGGATTTAAATTGAGAAAACGGCTAGCATACTATCTGCATCTTAAACCTTTTGTTTCTTAAGTGAAACGAAACAGTGGGTAGGTCAATTCAGATTCGAATTATCATCTGGATATGATATATAAAGATGATCCAAATTTAACTTGAATGGCCCCTAAAAAATAGAATCGAAGCTCTATGCATTAACAAGACTGTTTAACAAGACTGTTTAAGAAAGAATCGAAGTTCTATATATTAACAAGACTGTTTAAAAAAAAAAGTTATTTTAGAATTTTATATTTTTTTCGCCTGTGACGTATCGACAATAAATTAACTTCGTTGGGTTAAGGTTGAGGAATCCGGGGGCGAACTCCCTTTGACTACTCACAAAATTACTACCCCCAGTTCCACCGCCAAAATTCTACTGACACGCGATTTTTTGTGGCGCAAGTAGAGCTATGACCCGGATCAGGGACGTCTAAAGCGGAGGCACTCATATTTCTTAATAATGTTTCGATTAACTTTAGGGTTAGAGTCATCCCAAATTAAGGTTAGGATAGGTTTTAGGTAGTTATATATAAGCAAAATTGCCTCCCGACATTTTTGATTAACCTACCCGAGGTAGGTTTAGACTTCCGTTTTTTGTACTTTTTGGGTTTTTGGGTTTTATTTTTGTTTTGCTTCGCCGGCGATCATCAAATTCTATAATTTTATTGGCGGCTGATCACTCCGTTTTAGAATCTTACCCAGCAGCGCCACAAAAATTCTACTGTCACGTGATCGTACAAAAATTTCTTAAGGTTAGGGTTAGTGATTATGTTAGAGTTTAAAGTTAGGAAGGTATTAGTAATTTGCTCAAGGAATTTTTTTAATTAGAGCACAAAAGGTAGTTTCTTATGCTATTTTTCGAGAAATAAACAATTTTTGAAAAAAAGCGAACGTTTGTTTTGATCTTCCTGATCGTGTAACGTTACATCAAATTGTGGCCCGCTATTTGCTAATTTACTGTTGATCGTCACGTGACAATAGAATTTTTGTGGCGATGCTGGGGTAGTTCCGTTTTAGATCTTACCCGGATCGGAAAATAGCGACCCTGGCGGGTCGAGGTAGGAATGTCCCAAATAAGGGGGGTCCTTAAAGCGGGGCAGATCACGTGTTATGCCGTTTTTCATTAACATTAGGGTTAGGGTCACTTTGAGTTGAGGTAAAAGGTGTTTTTATTAGCAAAATGACCTTCCTGCCATTTTTTATTAATGCACCAAGATAGGTTTAGACTACCATTTTTGGTGTTTTTTCGCTTTTTTCTCTTTTTTTGCTTGTTTTGCTTCATTGGGCTGATCCGGATTTATCAAATTTTGATGATCCGATTAACAGGAGTGACCGTCAAGATTACACAAGCTGCCGATAACCTCCGGCCATCAGTCAGCCAATCAAAATTTCAAGGGGCGATCTAGGGGACGATCATC